AAATTTCATGTCGAGCGAAAGCAAATATCAGGTTTAATTCCCTTTTTACTGGATTAAAGCTGTGTCAATAGTATTAGGTTACATGATTTAAACTCCTTTACTGCGCGAAATTTCGTTGTAGCTAATCAACACTTCTGATATACGCACCTGCTCATTTTATTTGTGTATAACAGGAAAACAGAATCAAATTATTTCAGAAGTACATAGGCACATGAAATTTATGGAGTGTAAGTCAGTCCTTGTAAGTGTACCAGTCAAAACCTACAATCTCTTAACTGTGAAAGCCATATCCAAAATTATTCCAACATCCATAATTACAAGTTACAATCACATGCACACGTTTATGATCATAACGAATTGTAAAAGTCTTATCCACTAGCACTTCTGCTCTGAAACTCTTTCGATTTCCACGAAAGGTTTTCTTCAGTTTAGTCTTAATGTCACTTTGAGTAACAACACAAAATTTTGAGAAATCATGGAACAAACGCTTCTTTTGGGTGAACTTTACCATGGAGTCCTCTACTAATACTCCAAATGCAGAAACTCCTTTTTTGACGGCGTCCCTAATGTGCTGGAATATTTCCTCAGGGAGGTCACGTTTTATTTTAATGCACCACGGGTTTCTTGCCTTGGGGGTAGCTAGCATTCGCCGATTTATACATCTCACCCACATCAAAACTTCTGCGTTGATCATCGGCCAAACACTTGTTGTTGAGAACATCACTTTATCCATATTGCTCCTTCGGGCCTTATTCCTTTTGAAGACGTTTTCTAAACAGAAGCTCGCTTCCACACTAAAAGTAGAATAATAAGCCGTCTCAAAGGATAAAACTTGCTCACTGACCGTTTTATTACATCTTCCAGGCTATAATCCGGCTCTGAGTTTCCAACACCACCACCGTTTAGACAAACCTCCTCCCACACTTGCTCCCGGGAGAAACTTTCACTCGACGCCATATTGCTCTAACGGGAATTACCGCTGACAAGTCGCGGTAGCTAAATGATAAGTTTTTGACAACAGCTGACCCGGCGTATAGGTAGAATATCTATCCAATTCTTGATATCATAGAAAGGTAGTAAATTCTCCTATGTTATTTTAAGACCATGAGTATTGGTCCGGTCGGGTCTCCAACCCTCGACTTCTCCCACCACACAATCCGGCGCTCTAACCAATTGAGCTAACCGGGGGGGGCGAAACAACCGGAAGCCTCTATTCCTTCTGACCCCCAAAACGCCATAAATGAAAATCCAGCGCTAAGTAAATTACACAGAGGAATTCAAATACTTCGCAACTGACTGGATGCGTTTTGTGCTGAATTCACTAAAGACTGGTCTTGTAGCTGGTGTTGTTGAGATGTGATATACTTAACGAGGAGCGTTGTCACTTTGACTGACAAAGTGTTCTTCAGACTTGGTTCCCGGCTTAGGTTTCCATGGCAGAGGCCTCCAAGGCGGACTGGGAGCACAAGGATGTCCTAATCTAAGGGATTACACTTGTATCATAGGAATAAGTACCTGACATATTGCATTCTCCAATGGCTCTAGTAGATCCTGGATGTCGGGTAGTGTTCTTAGGAAGTAGGTCACCCATGTAAAAGCGGTATACTTTCGGTAAAGTGAGGAAAAAGACAGAACTGGGCTTGGGTTTTGAAGGTTTTGTGCTGCTTTTCCACTTGATGTGCAGCCGTTAGAATTCAATTTTCCACCGTTACTTGCAGTTTTTCTTCCATGGTGGAATTGATGATTTCTTCAGTTTTCTCTCGTTTCCCCTGCTTGCCTTCACAGGACTCTTTCCGCGGCGGCTTGAATTTTCTTGGTAAAGCAGCTCTTTCGCGTAGTGATAAGACTTCTTCAGTTCGTTGGTGTTTTCAATGGGTGTTGACCTCGTCTTCAAGAAAATTTACACTTACGTCGATTTCTTGAATGAATTTGTTATTGGCTTCTTTCTTTTGTAGAGTAACGACGTAGTGCGAGCTTATTCACATCAGTATTAAGGCTCTTAAGCGATTCTCAAGCTTCGTCGATTAAGTCAAGCTTTTTTAGGCGTGTTAATATTTTACTAAATGGTGGCGGCTAACGATTTCGTCCTCACTCTTGCTCACCATGTCGAAGCTTGTAGTGTCGTTGCCTTCGTTCACTTCTAACAGGTTTTTTTTTGCTTCTTTTCATCTGGGGATGGGCTATCTTTATTGAAACGCTTTCTTCTCCTTCTTCTCCTCGCTTTTCTGTTGATTGGCTTGCTTATATATTAAAATTCCATGATTTTCAATGATTTTTGGAGGAGAGTCAACATGTACATCCCTTAGTTGCTAGCTTCAATGTTAAAGTCTCGCATGAATGCACTGAAGATTTTTTGATTTGTCACATAGTGGCTAGAGACTTTGTGATGTTTCTCCAATCATGGCCTGTTTTTTATCTTCCTGCGTAACTAACGAACTCGTCTTTAAAATGGAGGACGATTAAACGAGACAACGAGACGCCCTTCCCTTCTGGTAGCAAAAATAGTTCTCTAGTTCTCTAGTGACCATTCCCTTCTCCACCCTCCCCCCCTCCTTTCCCCCTTTCACACCTTCATGCTCCGAAGGCTATATCTCGATTATTAGATTATTAATCATTAAACTTATTTTATGAAGATAAATAGTCACTAAGAGTATAAACTATATTCCTTCTGTGTGTAAGACAAAACAGAAGCTCAGTTGACGGGTCTATTAGGACTGATGTATCAAACAATACAAATTTGCGACTTGGCGACAAAGTCTAACTATTGTAAAGCTTTTACTGTTAGAACTATCCATGAAATTATCTATTTATCTTTTCTTCTGTTTCTTTCCCAAAGTCAGTGGGATTAAAACTAGGAAGAATACTCTGTACTTTTTGACTTACAGTTCTTCTAATTCCATATTGTTATTGAATATGTCTTTTGGCAAGTCCTCCAACTGGTTGTGGTACAAGTACCTGTCAACACAGGACGACAGTTAGTAAGTGTAACAAGTATTCAGCTGCTCTATCTTTCTTAACGCATTATCACTATCATCAATACTCTTATGTACCTAGAAATTTTTTTGGTAAGAACCAATCAAAATATTTCTAAATCTCGCTCTTTGTTCGTGGAAGTCTGCTAAAAGTTTAATCAATAATTTTTTCAATTACATCCTTCTTATGAGCGATGCCCAAAAATTTATGTGATCTCTTTCTACCACTTACGACTAATTAGTTATAGGACTGTTCAGGAAAAGGGAAGTTTTTCATGGTCACAGCAGAATAAAAGAACCACAAATAGCGTTCCATTTCACTACTTCAGAACCCCAGATATATTTGAAGAGAGTTCTCTGAACTCTAAAGCTGAACATTTTTCACTAGAATATCATTTTGTCACTAAAACTGGTGAACAACAACCGTAGCTGCAGCTTAAATTGACTCCAGCATGAGAACAGTGCGCAAACACAGAACTTTGCTTTGCAGAGGATCTTACTGAAGGCTTTGGGGATGTATGAAACAGCTCAAGAAGAACTTAAGAATGGCTGCTTGTAAGGATCGAGAATCGTCCGTCAGCGACCATTTTGGTAAATTGCTCATATTTTGCTCAACGATACCTTTGGTAAACTGTTTTCAAAAATAAAGTTAAAAGTTCCAACGAGTGTTTTGACTGTGCGACATGCGGAGCCTTAACTCAGGTAACCTGAAAACGCGTCTTCAGATTTTCGTAAATTAATGAAAAGTTAAGAATCACTGGAACTTAAAAACATGATTTTTGAAAAGGGTTTACTGAAAGGTTTCTTTGGGCGAAATATGAGCAATTCACCAAAATGGTTAATGGAGTCAGTCAACAAAATGAGCACGAGATATCATAGTTTTCCTACAGTTGAGGTCGTAATTTGCATAATGGTGATCGATGTAACAACCGTATGTACATTTTCGACACTGATTTTATTTTCTCTCTGCTCTTACGCAACTCTGAATGTATGATTTCCCATTTACCTAATATCTTGTGCCATAACAGCTAAAAATTTCCAAAATTAAAGTTGATTTCAAAACCTTTTTCAACGTGGCAGGGAATAATTAGATTAGCGTTTGTTCACACAACACATATCTTCTGCTCGCTCAGGACACAAATATTCGTGGTATTTCCAAAAGGAGCCGTTCGGATTCAAAGCACCAAATTTTACTCAGGTATTGAATAAGGACATTTTATTACAAATATCTAGTTAAACAGTTAAACATTATGTACCAGGTATACTTTAATCGCGTTAAACTTTACCTTATTTTCGCCCCATGTACAGCACTTTTTTAAAGTGTTGCTTAAGGGACAAAAAAAAAATCACAAGATAGCTGTGTACGGAAAAAAATTAACATAACACAAATGAATGGGAAGAATTTTTTCTTAACACATGTAAAGTTCGGTGTTAACTGAATTCATTTTAAGCCTTCAACGGAGCTTGGGTTTTGCAGTGAATTTTGGACAATTTGCCAGGCGCAAAACCGCGTTTTCAAATTTTTGCAAATTTCTGAAAAATTAACACTCGTCGGAACGTTTAAACTTGATTTTTGAAAACGGTTTACCAAAGGGTATCGTTGGGCAGAATATGAGCAATTCACCAAAATGGTCGCTGACGGACGATTCTCGATCCTTTCAGACAGCCATTCTTTAGTCTGATGTGCCGTGGACTTGATTTCCAGAGCACAATACAACTCTTACTAAACTCAAATCCGTCTTGAGTAGCACCCCAGTCCTACGATTTTGTGACAAGTTTACCAACGACACGGCCAAGGAGCATGTTTGATGCAACAGAATCAACCAGTGACATATGCCTCGCGTGCTATGTCAAGTTCTGAAATCAATGAAGTCCAAATTGAGAAAGAGCTCTTAGCGATCGTTTATGGATGTGAGAGATTTAATATGTACACGTATGGGGCAGAAATTGAAGTACTCTCTGATCATAAGCCCCAAGAAAGTATTTTCAAAAAGCCTCTTTTCAAGGTACCCCCCTCGCTTGCAAAGAATGAGACTTCGACTGCAAAGGTATAATCTTAAAGTGAGATATGTTCCAGGGAAGTTTCTTTATATTGCAGATACCCTTTCAAGAGCAATCGATCAGTCCAATGTTCCTACTGATGATGATATACATCATGACATGGAGCAGTTCATTCATAGTGTAATTCTCGATCTCCCAATTTCGGATATGAAGGTGATGGAATTACGACAGCTAAATTGCAATGAGCCTACTACGCAGTTGTTACATAGGTATGCCATGGAGGGTTGGCTCCAACACAAACGTGAGGTACCTCCTTCTCTTAAGTCTTTCTGGAATGTCAGGAATGATATTCACGTAAGCGATGGAATCCTTCTCAAGGACAACAGGCTTGTCATTCCATTTACGTGGAGAGCGGATATACTTCAGAAATTACATTTAAGTCACTGTGGCATTGAGAAAACCAAAGCTAATGCACGTACAACGGTATTTGGCTTGGCATGAATAAACATATTGAAGACATAGTGTCTCGTTGTGAAAAATGTCTGAAATATCAAAGTAAGCAGTCGAAAGAACCCATGCAAAGTCGACAAATCCCAATATTGCCCCCTCAAATTGTTGCATCAGATGTGTTACAACACAAAAATCAAAACTACCTTGTGGTCATTGATTATTATTCAAAGTACATTGAGGCTATTAGGCTGAATGGCAAAGCCAGCAGTGATAATATCAGATGTCTAAGTGAAATTTTCTCAAGACATGGTTATCCAAAAACTCTGAATTAGACAACTTTTTTGAGAGACATGTTTCGGCATGCTTATGCCATCTTCAATCAATGAGTAACAGAACGTGAGTAATTTCATAACAGACAAGTAGATGAATAAAATATTTACAGTATGATGTAATACAAAAGTGGGTACTATTTACAACGTGACACAAAACATCAAAGGTGTGAACTAAAANCATTTTAAGCCTTCAACGGAGCTTGGGTTTTGCAGTGAATTTTGGACAATTTGCCAGGCGCAAAACCGCGTTTTCAAATTTTTGCAAATTTCTGAAAAATTAACACTCGTCGGAACGTTTAAACTTGATTTTTGAAAACGGTTTACCAAAGGGTATCGTTGGGCAAAATATGAGCAATTCACCAAAATGGTCGCTGACGGGCGATTCTCGATCCTAACAGGCAGCCATTCTTAAGGAACATTTGTGGACTTAAAACGGATTGCTTAATTTTTGTTCTACAGCGGTTCTGTCTTTTGCCAATCGAGGGTCTCGGACAGTCTGGGTTTCATCACACCTTGGTTCATCATCCACTGACATCTCGCAAGTGTAGAGCGGTAAATTCTTGTATATAGTTGTTTTTGTTTTTTTGTTTTTTTCATGTCGGTACATATAGAATGTTCTCTGACTCTTTTTCCTTCGCTGAGGTTGCATTTTATCTTTTCTTGCCTTATTAAAATCCTACCAAATCGAATATTGATCGCATTTCAATAACAAGAAATCCGGTGGAGATTACATCATTTAGTTTTAGGGATACCAAACAAAGGCCAAACACACCTTAAATATGTTCGTAATCTCACGCGTGCCCTGTTATGGCTTTCCTCAAGGATGGAAATTCGTATAAAACGTCCGATTTATAGTTAAAACTGTTTCAGTGCTGTCCAGTCATATCTTTTTATGAGAGAATATGCATTGATTTAAATCAATTTTGACTTATTAAGATGGTGATAGGATAGGATAGGTCCTAAAACATACCCGCTAACAAACTAATTTTGTTGGTTCTATGCTTTCTTTTCCGTGTTCCATATGAATGCCGGAAAAAAAATTAATGAGCTACCCAACAATACAAGTAAGAGGTAATTGTGGTGTAACCTTCATAAGAGGCCAGATGACACTATATTTCATATAGGTACAATCACTAAAAACCGTTGCATAACTAGTATTTGTCTTGTTTGAAATAAATTGTGATCTTATCGCAAAATTGAAAATTGCGACCTTCCTTCAAAAGTGATGATTACAACCTCTGCCAAAAGGAGATCACGCTTTTTCTGGAGAGGAATGCAAGACAGCTCTATTGAGAGAGAGAAAACGACACCGTTTCCTAGTACTATCTAAAAAACGAGCGCGAGGGTTTCATCAGGTTCCCAAACGCGAGAAAACGTTTGAAACCACGAGGCCTGTTGCCTCTTGGTTTTATTGTTTTCAGGCGTTTGGAAACCTGATGAAACCCGAAGTACGAGTTTTTGAAATGACTTCTCCAAAGAAACAATACAAAATTATGCAATGTTGTATTTTTCCCATTTTTCTTTAAAATGCCTCGTAAGTGTGATTTGTTGTATTTAGCCGGCATTCATAGTATTTGCAAGCTTTTTTTTTTTAATTATCCAATAGTTTCGCGTTGCATCAAATATGTATTCCTAAGGTGGGATATGATGTCCACACATGCACACTTTGTCCGGTTCGGGGCGGCTGAAGATAAGGGCGGTTCTTCAAAGAGCAAAAGATGTTTTTACCCCTAATCCAAGAGATTACTTTTGCACTTTGTTCTCCCTTCTTTAAAGTTATCAGCTCCGCGAGGCTAATTCGCCGGTGGTGTTAAATATTAGAGGTGTGAATGTTTACCGCTCTATGCCGAGAACTCTCCTTGAGTACTGGCTGTTCTTTTCATTCTTATGCATTCTATAGATCTGTTGTGGCACTATGTTCTTATAGGATTCGGCATTTGGGTCGCAGACCCTAACATCAGGGAATGCCGATCGCTGTTGTTCGCAGAATCCACGTGCGCGAAGATTCAATCTTGCGCCTTTTGCTTTGTCAGCTCCTCTTTTCAGCTGTTCACCACTGATATCTGGAGGTACGGGATCAACTTCAACATCACCATATACCGTACTCAACAGTTCAGCTGCCAGGTCTCTCGGATCATTCTGTCTTTTTATGAAAATCTTTCTCGTTTGCAAATCATGGCGTGGTGTAGCGAAAAAACCTCCACACATACACACATGGAGGGAATATTTTGATTGTTTGTCAGCATCAAGGAATTCCTGTTTATTTAGGTTGAAGCCCAATTCTTGGGCAGGCATTACTGTCAGCCACACTGCTGATCTTATTCAGCTGTCAGGTCCAGCGCTCGCATCGCGCAGAATATCTCGACACATCCTGTCACTTTGAGTGATGAAGCGTTCTCTACACTTGCTTCTCGGCCTGAATTTCCATGGCACAGGCTTCCAAGGCAGACTCGGATTGCATAGATATCCCTATCTAGCTGATTACACCTGTGTTACATACATACATACATACCTACATAAATACATACATAAGGTCAGTAGCTTAACAGTAGCTTATAAATACTAATTTTTCCGAGAGAAAAATTACAAATAACAAAAGAAATTGACATAATATACAATGGCATTATAAAATACAATCCTATGCATTACTTATAATTAAAGGCTAAAATGAAATAAATAGATTTACTGAATATCTAAAATTAGTATATACTAAAACAGTGAATAGCGTTGAAGGCGCGCCATGATTGGCTAGTCAAACTCCGAATATCCTTTGCTATTGACCTCCGAGCAACTCGGGAAAAAATGGCGTGTTGGTTTGCATCCATGACAAGAGAATAGATCACTCAAATAACGACGAAGCAGTCCCTGAAATCACAGAGAAAGCGACTAAATTTGGTTTGGCCGTGTTTAAATGTAATGGTAACCAGGAGTTTAGCGATAAAAACCAATGAAAAAGGTTTTGTTTACCAATGTAAATTAATCTTGCGTAACCTCAATTGTTCACTTTAAAATCAAAGTTAAATGGTATTTTTTACAGAAATGTTTCAAATACGAAAAGAGATTGCACCACCATTTGAAGAAATGTCGCCACCAGAGCTAAACAAATGTCTTCGGAAATTTTATCTGTCAGCGCAAAAACGTGACGGCAGTTGTAAGAACAAAAAATCACTTACCGCGATCCGAACAGCGTTGGATCGTTACGCGCGGGAAAATGTTGGAATTGTTGCTGGAATGTATGAATTAAAAAAAAAATTTTGGTGGTGTATATTATCTCACTGTTTTAGTATATACCAAAACAACTATTCACCTCAGTGTCGGTGGTTAGAGGTGGATATTTACCTCGCCGCTTCGCGGCTTGGTAAATATCAACCACTAACCACTTCCACTTCGGTGAATAGTTGTTAAATATGATATGTTCCGTTATCACAGGAATAAGCAGCTAATATATTGCATTCTCCGGTGACTCTAGTAGCTCCTGGCAGTCGGGCAGTATTCCTAGGAAGATGTGGAAGCGGCATAGCTATAACGATCGGATCTGCGGTCCCTTCTGCTGACAGGATCTCTTTGCCGTCCGGGATAAGTTAAGAGTAGTTACAATGTTTTACTTCCTTTTTTGATCGACTTTGAAATTGATCCTTTAAGCATCATTACGCACATGTAAAATCTGAGCTCGCCTCAGCTTTTCCATTGATTTCGAGTGGCCTTTTTGACCCGCACTAGATATGAACGAATGACTAAATAGTACTGAACTAACTAAAGATTGCATAACATTTTGATGCCCTTGTTTTGCAAGTAAAGAACCCAAAGCGTTAAAAGCAAGTTCTTTTGACCTCCGCACCAAAAATATATAACAATAGTTAAATTAAGGAGTACCCACTGTCTATTTACCTGAAACTGTTTCGATTTGTTCTATGAAGTTTAGAGCTCGACCCTGTGAAATGTCGCTGCATTGTATGGATGACTTTATTTGGTTTTTACTGGATTTCCTTTTAACGAGCTATGACATTTTTTGACCAAGGAAGTTTAACATGGGAAAACTTGTAAAACGCTAGGTTTAGGAGCATAGCATTTGACGAGGAGAGTACAAAAGCAAAAAAACACTACGAAAGGAAAGTCTGGGCCATTAAAATTTCATCGACAAATTTCATTCGCAAGTATTCTTTGATAATCTCCATAGCGAGCAAATTTAAAGATATATTTGTATATATGAGAATAACATGTAATGTTCAGCAGAAGTGAGGAGAGAGATGAAGGTTAGGTGCAGGAGCCTGGGGTCCACAGGCGGCATGTGTGACTTTACCTTCCCTCCCCCCCCTCCCTACGGAACATTCCTACTTCGTAGCTCATTTTATTTGGAGTTAAGACATCGCTGCTCGTATTTACTGTTATTTTTACCAATGCGCGATGGATTTGAGGCGTTCCTTGCACAAATGAAACAAACTCTAAACTTACAGCCATCTCAGTTGGGTATTGTTACTAAAAATGCCTGGTGGTAATTTCTTCAACTGGTTATTGTACAAAAACCTACCAAAAGTAATATAAAGGAATGTTAATTAAATTGTGCTTGTCAACATAGTGCAGGAACTGTGGTTGCTCGAAAATGTTGAGTGTCTGATGTCTTCTTTTTTAAAGAGCTAAGATAGAATGCTCGTTGTTTGTGTGTCTGTGTGTGTGTATTTGTAAAAGACTGAAAACAACTGAATGCTTTACACATGCCTA